AATGATTGGTTTTCAATTGAATTACGTTTTCCATAAGTTTTAGGGTTTTGTTTGTATTGTATGTGAAATGCAGTCAAACAAAGTCTAGGGTTTGATAATTGTGTGCAAAAAATGTTGAGTACTTTATGTATGATTTGGCGGCAAAACAGTAAAAAACATTATTCATTGAAAGTGAGAGCAATATATTTGAGTGACGTTTGATTGCATTGAAAACACTATTAGTGTTGAAAAGTGAATAAAGTGTTTGTGTTTTAACACACATTCAACACATCATTGCATTGAATGTATTGAACGTTATGTTAAAGGTTTAGTCAATTTGTTAAGTTAAGGGATAAATGCTATCGTTTATCACATTTTTATTATGTGTTTAATACTTGTTATAGTCTTTATAATTGAATTAAATGTTAAAATTAAAGTTTATTTTATTGTAATTTATAAATATATGTTTAAATGAATGCAATTTATTATATTTATCACTGAATTTAATGAAATATAAAGCAAAACTTATAACAACTAAAAAACATGCAATAAATACATTGAAAAACTTATAATAAAGTTATAATAAATTTAATTAAAAGTTAAATATAAAAAACAAAACTAATTATTATGATCACAATCAGTAAATAAAGTGAGAAAATTAGATCCGCGACTAATGGAGGGCTTCTTTGGCACAGTTTTGGGCAAACATTTCATTTGTGGTTCAGGTTTGGAGCCATTGAAGCGATGGTCATGTCGTGAATCCGATGATGTGTTGCCACTTATGGGACACTCAATCCGCTGCCAACCACTCAGTCTTTGCCGAAGAGTTTGCAAATCAGTGCCTCTTTTATGTGTCGCTGTCTTTGTTTGTCTTGAATTGTCATTTGTGTCCATATTTTGAACAATTGTTTCCTTTGAATGACTTATTTTGGGACAAAAGTCGCCGCAATTGTCACTCATTTGTCGCTCAACTGTTCCACTAGTTTGTGGTCTCATATAGACATCAGAAGTTGCAGAAGAAGTGGAAGTGATTGATTGAAAACTGGTTTCAAGTGTTGAGTTTGCCGTCAATTGTGTTGAAGTGGAAGTGTTTGACAAAACTCTTGAATTGATTACAAAGTTATTCATCAGTGACTTTAATATCACCGACGAATCATTTGTAATGTGTTGTGAATCAATTGAATGACCACTTCCTCCGGAACCCACAGTTTTGCGCAAATTATCATTTGCTGTCATTTTGTTTGCATTCAATTCATCGTCTAATTGGTCCTCAAAATCACTGTCGGCGTCGATGTCTTCGTGAAGTGATTCATCGAAATGACTCCGATTAGCACCAACTGATCCATTATTATTGTCTTCAATCGATGGCAGGTCTTCACTACCAAACTCTTCATCAGCGAAACGGCACTCAATTGAAGCGATTTTAAAGTAATTTAATCCCAAATATTGAGGCATTTGAGGGCAATTCAAGTCCATCTCTTCGGCGGCGATTGTAGTGATAATAAGAGTATATTGTCTTCAATGGACTCAATGGCCAAACAAAGTGTACCGAAAATAAAGTCAAACAATTTGTTTGAAACAAAAATCACAGAAAACTTTACATCACTTTTCTCTATGTTTTGACAGCTTTTTATGTCTAAATGTCTGCAAAATATGTTTAGCACTCATTCTATGCATACGTTTATCACTCAATAAATGTAACTAAAAATCAAAATAATTAATTCACGCACTGATTGTATGGATTTATTAATGGCACATGGTCATTATTGTTAATTAGTAATTGAATTTAAAACTGATTACAAGTATTTCTAATAGAAATTAGCAAAAATGTAAATTTCTTACTACTATTGGACTCGAGATTAACACTAAAAACATTTAACAAAACAATATTTGATTTCAAATCGCAAAACAAACGGCAATTTAACTCAAACTCAACTCAAAGTCAACTGACCTTTGATTTAGATTTTAAAACCATTTAAATTATCACTTCATTTGATCCGAGATATGGCACGAGAAGTGAAACACCGGAAGACATCACACGAGACCACAGATGACGGCAATAAAGACAAACAACAGGTATTTGACAATTAATTGATTTTTTTGTGTTTTAATTGTGTTTTTGTCTCACATTTTAGTCCACAATCTATGCGAAGAACTCTTTCGATCGTTTCGGCGATGATTTGTCGGGAGTTCTGTTGTCTTATCTCACATTCGAAGACCGATTTCTATTGGAAAGTGTGTCCAAACAGTTCCAGAGGAAACTCGGCGACAGTGTTGTGGACATCACTCTTGACAATGATTTCATTGATTCATTGCTAGTGGAGGGAAGAATTGACACCCAATTGTTGGCCACAATTGCCACAAAGTGTCCGAAGATTGAGACAATCAGCACTCGGGAGTACGCCTATGGCAATTCGACTAATGATCCCATTTGTCAAGTGTTGGCCACATTTCGAGATAATTGTCCGCTTTTACGGCAAATTCACACCGATTTGGGCAACAATTGCGAGCAAACAGTTCTTTCGTTTGCACCACTGGTCACACGAATCGGTTGTATTCACCACTGGATTGAGAACCGATCGCTCGCTGTTTGCCACCGATTGTCTCACTTGAGTGGCGTTCATTTAGTGCAACTCTTTGACAACACTTCCGGACAACTATTGGCAAAAAATTTGCATAAATTTAAGTTTCAGTTTGAATGTGACGACAACGACCAGCTATTGTCTACATTCGTGGCACACAATCAGTCACTCAAAAGCCTTGCCGTACGAACTGAAGGGTCCACTAAAGAAAGTGTGACCAAAATGTCTGAACTATTGTCAGGATTACCAGAATTACGGGAATTGAAACTCACTTTAAAGATAAGAAACAATCAAAAGTCATTCACAGACTCTTTGCGGACATTTGGCAAGAATTGCGAACAATTGAGTCAATTGTCACTCGAGTTGTTCTCATCGAATACTGGAGTCAAAGTCGAGTCATTGGATCCGTTGAGTTCTTATCGCCGATTAAAACGATTGAGTCTAAAGAGTTCCGTCACTTTCGATGACCGACTGTTGCATCCATTAATACACTGCAAGCGTTTGACTCATTTGGAGATTAAATTGATGCAAATGAACGACAATTTATACAGCGATTGTCACATATACTGCCCAAGACTTCAACACCTGTCCATCAAAGCCAATACAATCACTCGCAAGTATTTGTCACACATTTCAAGACTACCGGCGCTTAAATCACTTGCCATTCGATGCAAGAGAAGCGATGGTCTCTCGGACTCTGATTTCAAAGACCTGTTGTCGAGAAGTCCTAAACTAAAGACAATTGAAATCCGGGGAAAGGATGGCTCAAAGTTTTATTTTAAGTAAAAGTGTAGCAAATATTTAGAAACATTTTATATTCAAAACTTTAATGAATTATTCACAACATTTCTCTCATAAGAATTAACTCTAAATTTTTTTATTGTTTGATATTTTCTCTAAAGTTTTCAATTAACCAAAACTTTTCAAATAAATTTGACTGTTATTTCAATTCATAGTGTAATTTATTAGTCGTTTTTAAATGCAATTCATTTATAGATATTTTAAACATTAATTTGTATTTAATTATCATATCCTTTGATAATATCAATAAAACATTTGCTTTTCAATTGCAATCAATTTTTTATTAAAGTATTTCTAATAGAAATAAGCGTAAAATTAATTGAAAAATGTAATTGTATTGACACTATTGGACACGAGATTTACTGCCACTAAAACAGCCGACAAAACAATAATTAAATTCAAATTTGGTTTTAAATATAATCGCAAAACAAACGGCAAAATGAAATCTGAAACCAAAATGAATGCATTGATAGCAGTAGTGATGATAATTGGGTGTCAAGTGCTGGTCAGTGATGGCAATATCATTGAAGACTACCGAGACTTATGCGGTTATCATTACAACTTTGGTGATCGCATATATCCACTGTTGCAACGGATCCGCGCGAACCACAAAGACAGCGACCATTCGGAAGGGTTTCATCTGACGCCCGACGCGTGTCGAGCGCTGGTTCCGGGCGGACACGACTTCGCGGCCACAACTGTCTACCTGTCGGACGACGACCACTATCTCTATGAATACATTTCGTGCAAATCTGTCCGCAATTTGTCCGGTAATGGCGTTCTTGAGCTGTCTTTCGGTGGTCAGCCGTTCACGCGTTCGGCCCATCTGTTTATCTTATGGATCAAATTGTTGAGTCCGTTTGCGGTCACGACTGGTGGCCATCGGTTCGCGATTAACGGAACCGTTGCTATGATATCGCCGGACGAGACCGACAAACAGGTGCTGATGAAAGACTTGAATTTTGATCCCAAAGTGGTAACTCTTGAGATATCAACGGATCCGTTGCTCGACAGCCAATCATTTAGTGTGAAGAACTCGTATCTGATATCGTGTCGAATCAGAACATTAAATACTTACGGATCAAACAAGTACTGCAAACCCGTCGAAGACAACGAACGGATCCGATGCGAGTGCAGACAACTGGAGGACGACTACTATCACATGTATTTCGTGGTCACATTCTGGGCGCTGGCGATGATTGTGGCGTTTAAACCGTTGGTAACACTACTCCTGACGCCCGACAGTCACGAGAAGACAGTCTTTCATCAGACAATTAATTGCAGTCCAAAGTCATGTTCGTATCAGTACTGCTATGTCTTACGTCTGGCCAAAGAATCCATGGATACTATACTCACTGGCGTTACCATTGATATCGAGTTCTTCACTACTGATCACCAAAGCGTTGGTAAGTAATCCAATGACCAGACAATGGCTTACCATTTGATACAATTATCACAAACCAATAGCACCTCAGCTCCGGTTCTTAGCCAATGTGTTGGACAAACGACCGGTCGTTGATTTGCTGATATATCAATGGCGTCTCACAGCGCTTCCACCCCTCAAGACCGTCGAGTGCCGCCACTCGGGCGACGATCTGAAGATTGTATTGCTGTCCATATCTGTTCACTGTGTTCTGGGAGAGAGGGTTCCGGGCGTCGACTACAAGATCCAGAAGAATATCGTGCGATACGTGCGGCGCTTCCGACTGATTCCCGCCGGACAACCGCTGGACGACATCGAAGACACGCCGCTGAAGGCCCACATCGGCTACAATGAGGTCACGCTATCGACGCTGGAAGTGATTTGGTTACTCTTCGCGAACATTTCGTTCGTGGCATTAATCGCCACATTTGTTCAACACGTGTCCGTTAGCCACACATTGTTGTCCCGAATGGGCGTTCAATTCGCGGCGCTGACCGTCGCCGCCGTCGCCGCGCAGACACTGGTTATCGGTGTCTATAAGAGTCTACTTCTCGGAGAACTGACACAACAGAGACGATTGCAATCGGTTTTTGAGAAACGCTTTCACTATTCAATTATCGCCTATTATGTGGCGATAAGTGTCTGTGCCGTCAGCGCCGGTATCTATATCTGTCTTCTCGCGGAACCATTTGATCAAACGTACGGTTGGTTTTGTCTGACAGTCGCCGCCTCGGGAGTGATGTGTCTTCTGTGGGTCTTTTGCCACCATTTTTGCGGTTCATTGTCTTCAAAACCCAAACCAAATGGTAGTGTCTCTGAACTCACATACAATTCTACATCCGTTTCATCCGAGAGTTAATTCATTTGTTTTATTATTTATTTAATATTTAGTTTTGTAAATGAAAATAGTTTTAAGCTTTTATTTCTCAAATTTTGTCATTTCTTTATTTGAATTAAAAATATTTTAAATAAAACACAGTTTAAAGAAATAATTAATTAGGAAATAAACGACAAATAATTTGTATTTTATTTATCGATTTAGTTGTAAAATATTAAAATTCATATATTGTGTTATTTGAATAAAAATGTTTACAAAATAAATAACAACAGCAATAAATTGTATATTATTTTATAAAATTTATATAATTTTACATTTTAAAAATGTAATTTTCACCATAGTCACTTTTACATGTACTGTATATGTTAAATGAAGTAATTCTTGAAACTCAACAAAGTTGATAAAAATTACACTTTAAATCTATTTATAATTATTTGGTAACAAATTATATATAGGATTAAGTGTTTGTTTATTCAACAAAATATTCCTCAAATTCTTGATATTATATTCACCGGATTTGGTCTTCTCTTGAATGTAATCATCACTGAATCTGTGGTAATGATTGATATAACTCTCAACGAGTTTATCATCGGTTTTGGCTCTTGTCATGAATAGATCCCACGATTCTGTGGTCAAAGAGTCCATACCATAGACTCGTTTGGCCGACACATCTGTTTCCCATTTCGGCGATATTTGTTGGCCAGAAATGTTATCTTCGGTTACATTCGTGTAGAATATATCAAAATCCAAAGGCTTTCCCTATAATTAAAAATGCATATTAATTAAAAAAATAACATCAAGGTAAAACAAATAAAGTTACAAATGTACTTACATTGCTATCTAACGTAAATATTCTGTAGCCGGGATTCAGCAGCGAATAAGTGGTAAGACTGGCGCCGATATAGCCATGAGATATAGCATACGTGCCATTAGTATCGAGATCTTTATTATACAAAACAATAATCTCGTCGACGTGTGTGTGACCGAAATACGTGCTCACAATCACGTGTTGATACCTCTCCACAATCCGAAAGTAGTTATTAGACCACGAGGTATAGCATTCGTGCGGCGGAATGTGTCCTAATATTACATAACATGTTAGTTATCAACAAAATATTTTGCTAAATAACCAGGTTATTTAATTAATTAACAATTAATATTGGTTATACCTAATAGCATAACATACGAGCTATCGGCCTCAGCCCTGTCGAGCTCGTCGATGAGCCACTGGAGCTGTCCGTCCGGATCGATGGGATCGTAAGCGATGTAATAGTTTTCGTGTTGACAGACGTTGTTATTCATGACAACGACTTTCAGTTTATCGCTGAATCTCTTTGAATAATAGCCGCCCTTTTTGAAGGTCTTCTTCGCCTCCGCGGTGTCTATCCATTGGGACCAGAGATCGTCGGCCAGAGTGTCGTACAGCCATCCCATAGAGACCTTACCCTGGGTTTCAATGGACAGACTGTTGGGCACATACCTGAGCAGAAAAATATTACCATAAATAAAATAGTAATACATATAAAAAGTATCAGGATAATTTACAAGTTAATGGGATGCGCCTCATGATTGCCGAGACAGGGAAACAGTGGTTTGTCGGCGAATGCCTTCTTCATGGCGTCAGTCATGGCCCGGATGTGCTGTATATTGACCTCTTTGGTGGTGTTCCAGACGTCGTGGGGTATGTTATCTCCCGTCCAGATCACCAAATCTATGTCTTTATGTTTGTCACCGATTTGTTGGATCGAGTTTTGGGCGAAAGTGAGCGGACAGTCGCACGAGTACTTTGTTTGCGACCAATAGCCAGCCCTATGGCTGTTATCGCCGGGAGATGTGGACCGACAGCAAACCGGTTCACTACACGTCGAGTTAGAGCCCGGAGTATACCATAAATCCAAGTGAGCGTCAGTCAAGTGAACCATTTTTAGCTGTTTATCGGATCCCACTTTCGGTGCGAATGGTTTGGGTTTAGGCAGTGGTAACACCCAATTGATCTGGATTTTCAAAATTACATTCATCATTTTTATTTATTCAGTAAACGTGTGATAAATTTCATAACAATTTAATGTCTATGTAAAATATACTTACGTTATGAGTGAACGGTAGGCCAAACAGTGTCATACAGTCGGGCGACAAGAGTGTGGCACACATTTCAGGGGTCGTGATCTTTGAGCGTTGAAATAGTGTGGCCAACGGTTCGGACATACGCTCCAACATTCCCACACATACGCGGGTCGAGTACGTGACGGACTTGCAAATGGTTGGCGCCAGCGATTTGATCAGATCCGGCGATTGGACGAGCATTCGGCCGAATGTGATCGATGTGTTACAGTCCTGGCAGGCCTTCAGGTTGTGCCGATTGCCCTCGATGTTTTGCAACAACTCGTTAAACATCTGATCCAGGTGATAGTGCATTGCATATATAGTTTATGTCTGGGTTATTTAGTGATAATTTTTGTGGTATTGTTCATACCTTTCCCAATTCATCGATGGTTATGGTGGCCTCCACTTCGGCCCTGATGTCCGGTGCGATCAACCCATTCAGGTCTTCTCCGCCATTGTCTTCAGCATAAGTACTAGAAATGCAAAGAATTGCTAGAATTAGACCCAAACTGAAGACTGGACTCATGTTTGCCATCAATTGGTGCACAACTGTTAAAATTGTCTAACATTTACACCTCTTTTTATACCATAATTATTATCTTAAAAATTCTCGAATAATATATCTTATAATCTTATTCATAGACTTGTTGTCTATTAGTTTCGTAAATATTTATTGATTGCGTGAAAAAGAGATTTTTAAATTAAAGTAATGATCAAGATTTTACTATTATTCATATAGATAACACTGTATATAGTGATATTTCATAGTGATGATTTTATTTCAAATTTTAATTATGTTTAAATAATTTAATGTGCATCATGTACTGTACACTTTAAAATAATTAGCAAGAGATATTTTTATAAACAAATGTACTAGGTCAATTAGTACACAGCAAACTAGATTTTTATAATGTAGTATTTAATGCTTGTTTTTGTTGTGAAACTAAATGTTTAGGATTAAAAGATCAGTTTATAAATCACTACTAATCTGGTTGATAAGCATAATGTTAAAAGTTAAATGTTAATTATAAACAGGTACATTACAATGTAATGTATACTTTGAACAACTAGTAAAGTTCACTTCATGCACTCTAATTTAATCCGGAACAATTATGAGAAAATTGTGATAACTTACATTAATAGTTTAGCTCAAATGATCATAAGTTGTTTTCGCAAAATTAACTGATTTTTACTAATTGTAAACATAATACTATTAATTAATCTACTTTACATTATTGATAACAGTCTTAACGTTGAGCCCCTGTATATGTGATGCAGTTTTTACCACAAATTTCTCACAACAACCGGAATCTCAATCAATTTTACAATTATTTCACAGCTATTGATGTGTTTACAGAATATTACAGAATATTAACGTCTCTACAAATGTCTCTTTTTATAGAGTGGTATCTCTTATACAGATTCCGACATTTTTATAATCAAGCATTAATTATAATTTAATTTATTATTATATACGGTAGTTTGTGCAACCATTTTAACAAGTTTTAATCAGTTTAACAATGTTTTAATACAATATAAGTTAGTATAATTTATAATAAAACACAATTTTTAATCGCATGTTTCTGACATATACTATAGTATGTATTCAATCAATTTTGCAATTTAGTTTTAAAATAGTTATCTCAACAAACTTTACAAATAATATAACATTTTTATTTAATTTAAATTTAATTATGATAAATAATCTAGAAATTTACATGTGTAAGTTTTATCCTAATTTATTATCTTTATCTGTATAAAAATAAAGAATATACCGGGAGCAGATTATACTGGGAATGATATCCCAATATTAATATATGAATTGAATTAAAATCCTAAATATTTAACAACTTTAATGAATGTTAATTGTAAATAATATAAGGGCATTTTATTCGTTAACATATTTTATTTATTATATTTATAAAGATAAAATAATAATTTTAAATTTTAAATAATAATTTAATAATTTTTCTTTATCATTTAAAATATAATTTTCAATTTCGCCAATAAATTAAGTTTATAGTTATTTAACTAAACTTTCGACTATTTTTGTCAACTTTTCAATTGATTTTTCGCTTTGAATTCTTTGGGAAACTTTTGCACAATTTTCAGCCATAACTTTATCATTCAATACATTATCAATGGATTGCAATAATTGTTGTTCAGTGCAATTTAAAAGATCGAGTTTAATGCCAAACCCCTTTTCCATAAGTCTCTGTGCGTTATCGTATTGGTCTTGTATTAGCGGTAATACTATCATCGGTTTCCCAAAATACATGGTTTCGGTCACAGAGTTGTTGCCGCCGTGTGTTATCATTAGATCAATGATTGGCAACACTTTGATCTGCGGTAAAGTCCTGTCGCCCCACATATTGTCCGGCAAATCGTATTCATTATGATTGACACCTTTCGAGACAATAAACCTGTGCTTAGATTTGGCCAAAATCGCGACCAATCTCTTCATGAGCCGCACATCTGCCGAACCCATTGAACCCAACGATAGGTAAATTAATTTTCCCGATTTATTGCGGAGTTTATCGGGAATTTCAAACGAGTCCTGATTTCCCGTACGTTTGAAATAATCAAAGCGATGGAAAGTGTCGGGCAATGGCCTGATGTCTGTGTAGTCGAGCTCTTTAGGTGTCATATATATGTTGGCAAACGGAGAGGGAATATAAAATAGATATTCCTTTAGGGCTGGCATTCCGTTAGCTATAAATCTGTCGTTTAGTTTATACCAAATCTTTGCTTTTTCTGCGTTCACTAGTTTTCTATATTTCTCTTTCACTTCTGTCTCGCAATTTGTTGGCAAACCTTTTAAATAGAAATATTATTAATAATAAAGTAGGCAAAAATCTAGCCTAAAAACGTGCTGAACCTAAACATGTATATTCTCAGCTCATAATTATCAATATAGTATATCACAATTGTCAGTATAGTAAAGTTGTTATATAACTTTACATTATTAGGGAATTACATTTGGAAAGTAATAGATGTTTAGATACACCAGGTTTTCAAATTAGTGTTTATAAAGTTTTGACATAAATTAATACAAATTATCATTTTTCTAGATATAAATAATGCTAATAAAGTCATACCTAACATGGAGGGTGGAAGGGAACCATCATCAAACATCATATCCAAACACAGGGCACCGCCACTCCAACTGAATATCCAGGGAATGCCTGACATTACTATCGACGGAAGATTCACCAAATGATCGGTAATAATAACATCAGGCTTTAAGTCGGTTATAATTTGTCTCACAAATGGATCAGTGTCGTCTTGAACTTTTATAACTAGTTCAACCATTGTGGCCAAACCTGTGACCAACTTTTCCAACGGGGTTAAATTTTCAAAACCTCCAATTTTTTGCATATCCTTTGCGTTACTATCGGCCGAATCGGTGACAGACTTTTGATTGTCGGCCGACTTTTCGGCCAATTTTGTCTCAAACCCGAGTGACTCGAGTCTAGCGATCCAATCGGCGCCCACAGCGAACACACACCGATGGCCACTGTCTCGCAGCACTTCGGCCTCACCTATGCTCGACATCATTGGCCCCACGAAAGAGATGGGTGCGAACAGCACTGTTAACTTTTTGCTGGACATTGTTCAATAATAATTTCAATTGGTATTGATAAATTTTAATAAATTTTATAATTATAAATTTTATATTTTTAAGTATAGCTTTGGTTAATAAATTTAACTTGTATTTAAAGTATTTCATTAATTATATATTTAACTTTATATAACTAATGATTGCACTAAATGTGCAATACTGATTTAACCTAGTGCAATACTTTCATATTAGATATAAATTTAGTGCAATGTACTGCATAGTATATAAAAGTGTTGGCAATTGCACTAATGTTAATTTAGACCATAATTATAAATAATTGTAAAAAATGTTTATATAAAGTGCTGTATATTTCTTTATATAAGTTTGATTATTTGTTACTTTATTATCTGATATGCAATGTAATTAATGTTTATCAACTTGATCCAAGTGCAATATGTTTAATAAAGTGCAGTATTTACACTTTCATGTACATATTTTACAGGTACATCATTGTGTATTTTATTTATGTACAAGGATGTTTATAAATAAAATTGTTTCATAATTTATCTTCGTCAATTAGATACTGTTTAACCAGTTAAGCAGTTAACAGTTATTTAAAATTGATGTTCCACTTTATAATGCAACATTTAAATCCGTGAATATTTATGTAAATATTGTAATTTTAGATTAAAACTAACATTAATTTATATTAATAACAACAATTAATACCTTAAAATTACACACATTTATTGAACATAACTTATTGAAAAATTACAAGAAGAGACAAACAAATAGTCATTTAATTATTTATTGAAATTAATTGAAATTACTTATCAAATCCAACTAAACCTAATCTTAAAGTCTAACAAAACTTATTTTAAATGAAAATATCGATATTTTATACCAAAACTTAGATTTTAAATAAAAAACTATACAATAAATAGCATTAAATTGCAAATAAACAGCTAATGATTAATTTCAATGCAAGTAAAATCGCGATATCAATCAAATTGCTGGACTTGTACTGACAACCATTGGCTAAACCAATGGGTTTGTTAACAGTTGGACGGGCAGTGCTAGGGTTGCCATCAGTGTTAGAATCGCCTGAACTAACATAAGTTCCGTTACAGAATTGGCCCACAAATGGCTTACATTTCTGAGTGAATGATGGGTTGTGTTGACGACAATAACTTTCATTGACTGCAAACCCGTTTTCATTGCATTCAAAGTGAATACTATTGATATAATCGATGGACTCATTCATCTCGTCCTCAGATTTTCCACACTTTTTGTCCTAAAGTTATAAACAATTAATCAAATGATTTGTGGAATTAAACAGTTATTTCAATACCCATTCAATTATTCCACAAATCATTAAGATTTGAGTGCAACACATGTTAGCACTGGTAGTCCTAGTCTTCACCCCTGCCTTCAAACTGGTTCTCATCGCTGTCTTAGTGTCGGATGTCTTGCGGAACTGAATTGGTTCCGGCTGTCCATTACTGATCAAACAAAGCTCAACAGTTGCCGCCTCTTCATCGTCACAAGTATTGGATCCATTGATGAGCACAGGATTGGCTAAGACTGTCATCACAACTAAAAACAATTCAATTTTCATAATTGCTGTCATTTTTGTTATCAATTGAAATGTCAGTTGAAATCATAATTTAAACGTAAACTACAGTATACTTGAAATAAAAACTAATTTTAATTAGTTTTTGAATTGAAATTTAATTAAAACCCAAATGACTCGTGAGATTTAACAAAGTTTCAATTAAATATTGTCTAAACTTTGTTTATAAAGTAAAAGTTATGAAATAAAAACGTGTAGTGAAACATCATAACCACTTTTTAATCTCACAAAAAGACCAAAATCTCTTATAATAAATCTAATCCTTAGTCTCTCAATATTTGTTGCAAAACAATGCAAATGCAATCAGCTGTCAGTTACTACGGGGTCGGGCGGGTCTGTCGGGTTCGGGCCAATCATCACCAATCAATACATCCATTTGGTGACCAAAGTGCTCGCCATCGGCCTGATTGACAAACTCGAGCGCCAACCACGTGCGCTGTTTAAACACAATCGAGAAAAACGCTGAGCCAGACCGCTGATACCGGTGCCCATAAGCGGGGGTAATGTGATCGTGAACCAGATGATTCCACCCGGTGCCCGGCACCATCGCCAACACCTCCAGGTGCGCCTCTCTGGACTCTGGGTTATATGACAGACACACGACTCCCTTTTTGTACCTGAACTCCTTGTACCGACCCGTCGACGTGTAGATCCAGAGTCGGACCACACCGGTAGCCAATGACCGGCAACCCGGATGTAATAGGAGTAACACCGCATTTGTCTCGGCATCAGTCATACGCGAGCGCTGACTCTGTGCCGGGTTTACGGCCACAATATTCTGTGCCGGTATGTTATGCGGGGGCAGAGCTGGTGGGGGTATATATGATGCGCCCGGTGCTGGTAAGG